AGGTGGGGGTGTCTGGGTCTTTGTGGTGGCTTTGTTACTTGTTAGACATAAAATATTAGATATGGAGTGGGACGATAATATGATTGTTATTTATAATTTAGGAAAGAATATAATATTTCAGTTACATATAGCGTGCGAGACTGCGATTGTGCAGAAGTTTCAAAACTATAATTAACATGATAAACATATTTTCTTTGCTCCAAAGGAGTGAGTTAAGTGATTTCTGGAGTTGGAGTAGTCAGCTGGCACGCGAGTTCTTAAGGTCGAACTAAGTTGTCTACAAAAAATAGTGTATATTGTAATTGGCAGTATCTCTGATGTAACAAGCTACCATGTTTCAGATTCTCTGGGATATGACTAAAATCCCGTTGCATAACTTTGTTTTGAGCTGTTCGTTTGATTGCATCAGAGTGTAGTTGTCTCAACCATCATATACTAATGACAGGTTGAACTACGATAATACATTTGAAGATATCATTGATCTCTATCTGGCATATTTGCAAGTAAGTTGTGAATGTACTTACATCTTTATTATCTTCTTATGCTTTAAATACTACATTTGAAGATATAATTGATCTCTATCTGGCATATTTGTAAGTAAGTAATGAATATATTTACATCTTTATTATCTCTTATGCTTTAAATAATTGCAACATGCTTTTCAATGATGTGATGTTACATCTACTTGGATGCATCATTTGTTTTGTGGAATTGTTCCTCATCCCTTTATTCTGGTAGCTAAATATCACTTGCCCCAGTAAACGTACTGGCATTGTTCTTTGGAATATTTGGAAGTTTCTCTCAAGGTGAATTAAATTCTAAATGAAAGAAGTTGGTGCTACTGGAGTGTAATAATTTTGAGAGTAGGAGAAATAAAGTGTCAGCAGAAAATTATATCATTTTGATTTGGTTACTATTGTGGAATGATTTTGAGTGTGAAGTGTAAGAGATTGATGAAGAAATCAAGCTTGAAGCTATAATAGCCACCGACTTGACCAATTTCCTTCAGGAAATGGTTAACTAAAGTTGACTGTGAGTAGATTCTTTTGAGCTACATTCACAATTTGATTCGCAATTTGATTAGGTAGAGAATTGAATATGTTAGAGTAAACAAGAACTGTACGCTTTTGTACGTCCAAGTAGAGGAAAAGAAGTGGAAGTTAGCAGGCTGATGTCATGGATTGATGCTAAGGGTAGAAAGCTTGTGTCGTGTGTAGCCTATTTGGATTAAGTTAAGTCATTTGCCAAACCACCTACCTTACCACTCTTCTTTACAGTGTGATAATACCATTGGGTCTCATGCAATGCTTTTCTGCTCTCTTTTGGTTTCATCTGCTTAAGTGTGACCTAATTCCACATGCTGCTTGGCTTGTCTCATTGATTGGGTATTCGAGAAAAGATACTTTTCCTGACAGGAAGTTAAGGCCTTTTGTCTTGAGTGTTACTGTTTCATGTATTTATCACAAGTTACTAAGCAATTTCTGGGCTTTTGCTTTTGCTGCTTGGTTATTATTCAATAACGAAGACTAGCAATTTTGTATAGAACAAAAATGGATAAGATAAATGCTGCAATGGATGGCGAATATATGGTGAAATTAATACCATCACTATAATATATGTATCTAATGCTTTTATTGCCACATCTTTTCTTCTTCAGCACAGATGGTTCTCATGCATCTTCTAACAGCACGATCACTCTAATAATGTAAATAAAGTACTACTGTTGTATGACTTCATAGTTATCCTAATGACGCCCCATATTTTTTTCATTTTAGTTAGTTTTATTCTCAATTTGATTGATGGCAAAAATGTGATAAGCAATTCATTTTCTAATTCTGTGTGCTTTTTATGTAATTTACCCTGGCATAAATAAGGCCATGGATGACCCTGTCATTCATTTATGTTATTTCTCTACATTTAGGTAAATGTGGTTAACCCTGCCATGGATAAGGCCTTGTTGTTATTGGAGAAGTTCGCTGTTGACGCACAGAGTGGAAAAATTTCGAAAGATCGATTACGATTTGGTTCTCCCTGGCGGCATCCCCCCAAAACTGATATCACATCATGGGCTAAAATTCAGTTAATGGACTTCATTCAGTCCTTAGTGAATGCAGGTTTTTCTGTAAGTTTGATCGTTAAAATGTGATAACACTTGTTTAATTGGGGATCACGTGTCAGTTGTAACTTTGCAGTTAGTCAAATTTCTTTTCATCTTCCCTGCATTTGACGTAATTACATTTCCAAATGATACACTAATATGATATTTCAAAATATTGAAAATATGCGTATATATAAGCAGCTCTTACAGCTTGCTATCTTGGACTTCAGAAATACAATCAACTATTGTTATCCCTGGCAACCAAGACAACATGCTTCTACTCTTGTTATTCGGTTTCAATTTTCAGAAATTTGAGATTTTTCTTAACTAAATGCAGGTTAACTATTTTGCTGACTGGAGTCTTGAGTTCTTGGATGATCCCTCTGCACTTGCCATGATAGAGGTACGGAGCTCCGATCTTTCCAAGTTTGCATCCTACTGTTAATTTCAGTTTTTGTTGCTCATTGAGCTGTTGCTTAATAGCTACAGTTGAGCTGTTTAACAAAGTTACCAATTGTTTTGGTAGTGTCAGTAAGATGATCATCATAGACTGTAGTGTTTTTCTTAAACTTCAGCGGACATCATAGATTGTTATCATCAGGTTGTGATAGTCAAAGGTGTTTGAATCGAAGGAAGAAAATAAAACTTGAAATGATGTATTAACTGAAGGTTAAAGAAACATGAAGGAAACCAAAACAGTTGCAGGAGAGCCAGCCCCATGTGGGAAAGACAATCAGGATTTCTGCTGCCTAAGCCAAATTTCTTATATTCTTCTTCTTGATACCTCAGAGACTTATCCTACTACTTCAATAAAAAAAAATTAGAGTTACGAAGCAAAAGCCCTGCCCATCGCTTTATTTTAGCCCTATATAAATTACATAATTAAATTTGATAATAAACGATATTTATATTGTTACAGGATGTTTCTGAAACTTCCTAACCTTTTAGGCCTTTTTCCTCCTCTTCATTCGTGTGAACTGCCTTGATCATTTTGGGAAGAATCAGCAAGTTTTTAATTGATTATATTTCCTCGACACTTTTTTAGGTTGGTTTGTTGTACACCCAGCGTGACCCCTCCTATATTCGCCCTGTCACACGTGGTATTCAGAGATGCCTTGTGAGATGGTAAATGTGTAGATTAGTTTCGAAGCTCATACACAGGGTTTTTCCTTTTTTTTTTTTTTGGCATGTGCTGATGTGCAAGTGGTGCAGGCTTGTTCAAGAACGGTTAGGTCTGAACTTCACAAATTCCATTCTTTACAATTGGCAGCGCACTGTACGAGGCCGCAGCTATCGGCATTTATTAATGCAATATAGAACTTAGATGGTAATTGTGTGAGATTCTTGTTGATTTAGTTTAAATCCAGGTTGGAGATTGACATTGACTATTATAATGCTTTGGTGTGACATGTCTTTCTTGGGTGGTCATGATTATACGAGAGAGTGGTTGGAGAGGTTTTCCTTTGCCGAAGTGAATGCTGCATACAAGGATCACATGCTCATTCATTTTTCGGTCCAAAGTTGACTCATGGAACTTAATATATGTTGGCATTATTCTCTTTATAGTTTGAAATTATTTGTGATTGTGTGGAGTATTTGGTTGTGCCTCTGTACTCATTTAGAAATACGATGATCTCATTGCATGAATTGCACACTAAGAATCTTATGATTTGGTTCGTTTAATGTGATGAACAAGTATCTGGAGTAGCATTACTAACTTATTTACTGGGAAATCATTATGAATAATCGGCGGTCTTATGAAATCTCTAGTTATCTCATAAATCATTAATTTTGACTACTCTTCAGAATTATGAAATAAAAAAATGTTACCATTACCGCAATCTCTGCGTTAGTTATTGAGTTCTGCCTGTATAACGAGATTAAAGTCGTGCGTCACTCCAGCTTATTTGTTTTGTTTCAGGTGGCAAAGAGGTATATGGCTCTCGTGAACTCATTGGTTGTCACACTACAGAGTAAGTAATTGCTTCTTGATACCTGGTGTTCGAAGAAGTTTCTATGCCTTTGTTCTTATAGAGGAAATATTGGTTTTGAAGTATGCTCACTGCAATCGGTAGTTTGTTGTGGTATTCATGGTTTATGCTCTTGATTTCTCGCTGAAATATGGGTCATGTAATTAATGTTTCCTTTTTCAATGTCAGGGTCGAAAAAAAAAAAAAAAATTGTAGAAATCGGGTGAGTCATGTTGCATAAATATCATATTAGCAACACAATGCTGATGGCGAGGCTGAAATTTTGGATATATGGGTATATGATTGTTCTTGATGAGTATCATTGCTATTTGGCATGATTTTTGGTGCTCGAAATGGGACGACCGAGTCTGATCAATATATCGAATAAACCATGTTCTCGACAAAACAACCGAGACATAGTGGGATACAAATATTTATTTTAATTTTTAACACAGGTTTCAGAAGGCTAGGAAAATCTGGTATCCCATCTAATGTTAGTTTTGATATTGTGGAGATGTGTATCAATTACCTTTTTTTTTTTTT